CATTTTTGTGTGAAACTTCTTAAAATTCAGGAGAGGAGAAGGCTCTCGGAAGGCTCTATAGGAGAAACATATTTTATGTGGATTCGCAGCAGGGGGGATGCATGGCGGGGGGAGGGGCAGGGAGTTCTCTGCTGTTGGCAAGGACTGCTGACATGGATCAGTTGGCATCCTCCTGATAATGTGTTCATCATGTTATTCTTTCTGCTTCAATATGTTAGAAAATCTTCCGTTATCAGATAAAGACAGCAACAATGACAACAATGATACGTGGTTGGCAATCCTGTTAAAAGGTTTTATTGAGGATTTCTATGTTTTTGTTTCTGTCCTTGTAGGTGCATGAAACAAATGATGCTGAAAAACTGCAAGAATTGATGGTTCGTGACGACATAGCTATGCTTCTCTATCAGTCTAGGTTTGGAAATGAGTGTCTCTCAGTAGATACCAAGTGTAAAGAAGTCCAGTGCATATTGTTTAATCAAGTGATCAAGACACGACGTGACCAAATTACAGCTCTCATGGAAGGCCTAAACTCACTTGGAGTCCTTGAGCTCTTGAGGGCAAATGAAGCTTGTTGAGCCTTGGTGTTTCATTGTACTCTTAGGTGCAGATATCCGAACATGATGTGATCTCACTGTTTGAGTATGAGGAACTACTCTCATTCCAGGAAGAGCAAGGAAAAATGTGGTTAGAAGAATATGTCAAATTATTAGGAAGAGGTAACATTATTTGTCATTCTGAGTCAGTCCTTACATTTTTCTGAGCCTACTAAGCAAATAGATGTCACTTAACACTTCCCGTTTACAAACCAGTCCCTACAGTCACTTTAACCGCTCTCTAGAAGTGCAAGCCTTGGGACAGCAATTTTAGCACAAAAAACTGGACAGTACACCATTTCACCAATTTTTGTTCAAACTTTTGACTGGGATCAGCTAGCAAAAATCCGCCAACATGACTGGAAAGTAACACCTTCAAATAAGTTAAGTTGCCAATTTGAAGGTCATTTGTTGAAAACAAATGGCAATTAATATAGCCCCACAAAGTTGTGTAATAATTACAGATGTTTTATGGTGGGGGCATGTTTGTGCCCCCCACCACACCCAAGTTGAGTAAAATTCGACAGCTTCGGGCAGCAATATCTTCTCTTTTCAGATTTATAATGATAGCATGCTTATTGCACATGCTTTCGTCATATGCTTTGTTTATAGGTGACGAGAAGGACAAGTCGGATAGTGAGATTACTGTAAACCCACAGTTAAAAGAACTAGTGCAATTTATCTGTGGCCATCCTCACCTTCCTAAATGTGGTGTCATTAAGGTATGTTTTACAAGATCAAGTTTACGAGATGCAGAATCATGTTTCAACACACTAAAGTTGCCTCTGGCCCACCATAACTACACAAGCTTCAAGAGGGCAATGAATATTGCCATAAATTTCCCAAACCAAGGGTATGGACGTGGGTGACGCAAACCTCATTCACTGTTACAGAAGTCTTATTGCATGTCAATGATGTTGTGATATAAACTAAAAGAACAGAGACGTATTGTCTCACTTTGTTTCATTATTATTAGTCAGTTTTCAATCAGCAACAGATTTTTTTAGTATTGTGTGATACAATGTTAATATTGAACATGAACAAATATTCAAGGTTTTGTTAAACATTGTTACAGTTAGTGCTTGAAGCAATATTCACTTACAGGTTCGGTGAATGTGAAATTACACGGAATGGTTATACATATGTCACAGGTAAAATCCAACCTCAAGTTAAATAATTTATAGCATTCTATACTGCTGCAAGTAAAATAGGTAATGGCATCATGTCATTGCTATGACAACTCCAATGTCATTACAACCCTGATCATAGCAAATTTTCATCTTTATCTAATACAACTGTGGTGGCAATTTTTCCAAATCTTTTTTTATGGCGACGTAGTTTATGCTCAAACTTGGGAGACATTTGACCCTGAAAAACGGTATCGAGCCACCTTAAACACTGATTTAACCTGAGAGCAGATTTTACCTCATTAACATGATTAATACAATGAAGTCTTTCATCACGTGTTCACTGTTACTATGACTTTTAAAATATTAAGAGGCTCAAAATCCAAGAACATTTATGTGTCTCTAATATTTTGCATCAATCTTAAATCACATAGCCAGACATTTCTTTATAAAATAAAATAATGTTGGTCTCAGGGAGTTGTCAGTCCTCAAGGGAGGAAGGAATTATCAATTTCAAGACATGTAAGGTAGGAGGTAATGCCATTATCTGAATCATCTCTTGATGCTAAGATAACATTTCTGAGATACTGCAACTGAACTGTACTCAAGGAAATGGGAGACTGTGGCACTGATACTCTATCATCTTCTTGTGCTGGAACAGGGCCATCATTATCAACCCCATAATCTGAAGGGTCAATAACATCTTGAACAGCTGTCGATGATGAATTGTTGCGCTGCATAACTATACCCCTAACCCATAATTGTTGAGGGGAAAAGTTGGTTTCGGTGGTCACTGGGTGGTTGTTCCACTCTCTGCAAAATTCATTAAAAGCTCCGTTAATCAAATCCAGATACACCAAGTGAAGACAAAAAAGGTGTACCTCATTGCATGGATTGAAGACATTATTGCTCTAAAGGTACAAAAAGATATTAAGAAAGTGCGAAACAACAATTCTGTTCACATCTCTCCAAAGTCTCTCTATTCTCTGATTGTGCACTGAAGTGCCAGTGATAATTAATACTGCCTCTTTTCAACCCTCGTTTTTTGCAGCATGTACCTTCGAACTTCACAATTCTCCATTCCAAGATCACATCGGACACAAGAGGGAAGATTGTATATTGAGACAGCTTCATGATAATAATTTAAACGGTAGCAGGTCTGTTGTTTGTGGAGGCCTTTAGATACACAACAAGTCTGGAAATTCCGTCAATTCCTCCATGAATTGCTATCCTATATGGTTGTATGAGTTTGTGATTACCATCAATATGCCTGAGCAATGAAAAAAACAAACAAATAAAAGAGAAAAGGAGAGGATGGCACGTTAAGCAACCTTACGTACTCTGTAACCAAGTCTTGTTTGTTTTTGACACTGTGACAGAAGGCCCTTGTTAGAAGTTTTGGAGCCTACTTGCTTACAGAGCTATACAGTCACTGTCTTTTTACACCTACTAAAGAACAACAAACACAAAAGTGCGTTTATCCTTCATGCATTTACACCTCACATCCGTCTGTAAATTAACTCTGGGGTTTCAGAACATATTTTCAGGCAACTGGCACAGTTACTGCTACTGTAGCAACTTGCTTTTCATTGGAAGCAATATTGCAGAACAACCGGCCCCCTAAATCTCTTACTTGAAAGACTGTTCCCACACCCAGGGAGGGGGGAGGGGGTTACTTGGATCAATTTTTGATGGGGTGTGTGTCGGCCAGGTTTGTTACAATGTTCGATTTGTAAAGGACGAATGTTACCAGGTGTACTAACCATAACACTATTGTCGTCACAATCGAGAAAACGTTGAAAATGTGAGCGAAGAAAAGCCACGCGATTGCATAGGTATGGGAGGTCTGCGACAGTATTTTGTTGCGCAGATACACAGCCGTAAGTCTAGCAAAATCTTAACGTTAAAGTTGACAAGGTTCTTTCATATTCGTCAAGGCGCCGAACTAAAAATTCTAAACTGTCATACGACGCTGAATTTAGCTGCCTTTCCGGGTCCTCTATTAGTCTAGCCAAGGAGAAAAAAAGTCTGCTATATTTGGAAGCCAAGGAAACGCTATTTTGGATCGAAGCCCAGCGTTAAAACATCGATTGATAACTTAACTGATCAGCAGTTTCTCTTACTCGACTCGCCGTTTTTTTCACGTCGACTCGAATTTTTTTGTCTCAACTCAAATTTCGATTCGTGTTTGTAGTCATGACATTTGCTTAGTATTTTTTCGTTCGTGAAGATATGTTTTGCAAATCTCGACTCATGTTTTTATTGCATTCGCTGTATTTTACAAGTTTGGACTTACGTATTATGGTTTCAACATGTTTTTACCATCGGTATAATTTTGTCCGCAACGGAATGCCATAAGCGACCGTGTGGGCGTATTTGCTGTTGAAAAAGGAAGGAAAAAACGTATAAAGGTTTCGAGTATTTTTCTCAAGGACATCACCAGGAATCATGTGGAAAACACCTTTTCTTTCTCTGACTGATATTTTGTCCCCTGCTTCACATTGGACAATTAACAATTAAAGGGACTATGTCAGCTGGAGAGCATGCGCGTTGAGGTTATGCAAATTACTTTTAACTGTCAAAACTGTCAAAATTCTATTGTTTTTAATGCGTGACTTCCTGTCACGTCCAAAGCTCCGAAATGTTTAATGAGACGTTTACAAGTTTAGATAACTGATCTTTTGATAGAATTTACGGAACGTTTCCTTTCTGGTTATGCTAGAAAAAGTTCACTCAAATTCTTCGTCGAGAATAAAAGTGGTAAGACAATTTTACTCGTAGTTTTGAGGTAAAAACGCGTGCCATTCATAAAAATATAGCGCAAACAAAAATTCACCAACATATTGTCGTAGTCAACAAAATAAATCAGTCTTATTTAAGAAACGACCTACAAAACTTTAGACCAAAGATAATGACCAGGACTGTTTCAATTTACTAACAATAAGACTTGCCTCTCGCTACTGATCTTTGTAATTTAGATCGCATGCTGACAGGACAAGAGACGCCGTTTATTGATGCCTCCGTGTTGAAGCGAAACAGATTGCGCAAATTTGTTCGATCGTGCCGAATCACTGCGACGTCGAGAAAAACAGAACCAAGTATCATTGGTATTCTGCTCCATTGTAAGCAGTCCGTGAACAACAAGGGAAAATAAACTCTGCTATTTTCCAACATATGCTCAAACACAAAAGTTTATATACATGACCACCACAGAATCTAACTGGTACTGGTCCGTTGCTATCTAAGTCCGTTATGAACAAGCTGGGCGAGTAAACCGTCG